CTGGACACTCCAGTACATTAACACTGCACTGAGAGAGAGGGGTTCATACAGACACACTGACTGACTGGACACTCCAGTACATTAACATTGCACTGAGGGGTTAATACAGACACACTGGACACTACAAGAGAGACTCTCTTATCCAGACACACAACTCACACAGTCAAGCAGAATTATCAAGAGAAGAAGAGCTGGGGCTTACCTGCGGTGGAATATTGGGGTACGCAGAGCTGGGGCCTTCCAAGATATTAGGTGAAACATTGTTGTACAGAGAGCTGGGGATTTCCGAGGTGACAAGTGGAATATTGGGGTAGGGACAGTTGGGGTTTACCGAGAACTGCAGTGAAATATTGGGGTACACCGAACTGGAGCTTTTTGAGGTCTGAGGTGAAACATTGGGGTACACAGCAGTGGGGCTTTCTGAGGTCTGAGGTGAAACACTGGCGTGCACAGAGGTGGGGCTCTCCAACGTCTGAGCTTGAAAGTTGGGGTAGACAGAGCCCAAGTCTTCGAATGACTGAGTTTGAATACTGGGGTACGGAGAGCTTTCTGAGGCCTCAGCTTGAGCATTGGGGTACGCAGAGCTTTCCGATGTCTGAGCCTGAATATTGGTGTAAGCAGAGCTAGTGCTTACCAAGGCAAGAGGTGGAATATTGGGGTACGCAGAGCTGGAGCTCTCCAAGAGGAGAGGCTGAATAATGGGGTACCCAGAGCTGGGGACCTGCTCCTCTCCCTCGGTCAGAGTCTTCTGCTGCCTCTTTTGTTTCATCCTGCGGTTCTGAAACCAGGTCTTAACCTGCAAACAGACAGGGGATGGTGAGAGGGCGCTCTGCACTGGTCTGTCCCACACACACAGACAGGGCGCTCTGTACTGGGGGATGGAGTGACTCCGTTACCTGTTTGTAAGACAGTCCGATTTTGTCAGCCAGGCTCTTCATCTCTGCTGGAGTGAGGTACATCTTGATCATGTAGCGCTCGCACAGCGCAGTCATCTGCGTCTCGGAGAAAGCCGTGCGGAGCTTGCGGGCACGTTTCCCAGCTGCTGGGGCCGCACCTGGGTCCATGTCCAGCAGAGCCCCCTGCTGCTGCCCCTGCTCTTCTGCACCTTTGGCCCAGCTGCAGGGAGCAGGCACGGGCTCGGCGCAGGCAGTCTCAGCCGGGCTGCAGGGCGCAGGAGGGGGCCTCAGGGCGTAGCTCTCGTCGGCGCTGGGCGAGCTCCAGGAGTCTGGGACACAGAGAGCGGAGGAGAGGGTCAGACCCCAGGACACATAAAAGCACCGTAAATAGACACACAATCGTTTAAAGTGACGGATTCATTCCAACTGGAGACAGAAGATCCACCGAAACGTGTTACATCCCCTCTCTGTTCCCACCGAGTTCTCCCGGCGGCCACGGGGGGGCGCCAGACTCCACACTGTCCGCACCAAAGAGTGGCGACATAACGGAAAGAGACGGAGAAGAGAGGGAAAAAGAGGAAAAAGAGAGATGGACGCGTCGCCACCTGATCCCTCCGAGGACGGCGTGAGGCACCGCGGCGTGGAAAACGCACGCAACCCGTGTTCAACAGGAGGACAGGCGCTGCAGGTGGGTGAATCCACGATTTGACCCACACAGCGGGGGCACAGTACTACATCTCTCGCTGCGCTGTGGAAATGCGGGATTGCTTCCCGATAGAAACCAACAACGCCGACCTGCAGTCTAGGGGCCGCAGCGCCTCTCTCTGAAACACACAGCGCTTTTCACACGGACAGCTACATCGTGCGACTTTTACGCGAAAATCCGGCGCTTTCAAATACAAAACCAACTCGGGCAAGAAAGACACGCAGCCGGTGAAGGCGGCAGAGAAAGTCTGAGAGAAACGCGTCTCCCTGCTTTTCCACGCCGCCGGCAGTGCGGATAAACAACCGTGTCTCTGGGAACCGCCGGAGACCCAGACTCGGAAAACACGCGTGTACAGAAACACTCAGATGCGAATAAAAAGTGACAATACGGGATATTAGAGAGAAGGGGCTCGCCGGGCACTCACCGGGGGTGCTGGGCTC